AGAGAGGAGTAGCAAGAGCCCAGACACGGCTTTGTGCGCCGTGATGAGAGCTCGATTTCATCCTGTGTGCCATGGACAGCCAGTGAAGAGTTTTAAGCACAGAAGTATCCTGAGCACTTCATGGCAAATAGACGGGGAAACAATGGAAACAGGGACAGACTTTATTTTCTTGGGCTCCAAAATCACTGCAGATGGTGATTGTAGCCACAAAATTAAAAGACACTTGCTCCTTGGAAGAAAAGCTATGACAAGCTAGACAGTGTATTAAAAAGCAGAGACATCATTTTGCTGCCACAGGTCCATATAGTCAAGTTTCAGCTTTTCCAGTTGTCATGTATTGATGTGAGAGTTGGACCATAAAGAAGAATGAAGGCTCAGAATTAATGCTTTCAAACTGTGGTGTTAGAGAAGACTCTTGAGAGTTTCTTGAACAGCAAGGAGATCCAACCAGTCACTCCTAAAGGAAATCAACCCTGAATATTCATTGGAAAAACTGATGCTGATGCTGAAGTTCCAATACTTTGGCCANTGGTAGGTTCAAGCCCCAGACAAACCAGATGAAGGACGGTGATTTGAATCAGGAGAGCGGCAGTGAAGGCAGTGAACAGAGGACAGAGTCAGTGTATATTCTGGAGTAGGAGCAACATGACTTGGTGACAGATTGGAAGTGAGGGCTTAGGGACTGAGAAATATCAACACTAAAAATGAGCTTTCAAAATGATTATCCCAGTGGATGCCAGTGCCTTTAATTGAGGTAGGATAGATAGATGAGAAGGAGATTTAGGCATGGCAATGGAAAGAATATTGGACTTTATGCTCTTTATTATTCTAAAGCAAGTGGATTTTAAATACATAACAACTTTACTGAGATATAATTCATATACAAACCACTCAAAGTGGACAATCCAACAGTTTTCAGTATATTCACAGAGGTGTGCAGTCATCATTATCTGATGGTCCAAGATTCAGTGCTCTTACTACCATGGCCTGACTTCAATCTCTAGCTGGGGAACTGGGATCCTGCTTCAAACCACTGCAGACTGATGCCACCCAAGATCACTAATCACTGGACTGCCAGGGAATTTCCAGTCATAGCCACTTTAGTAGGTGTGAAGTACAATCTCAATGTTTTGATTTGCCCTTCCCTGATGGCTAATGATGGAGAGCATCTTTTCTTATACATATTTAGCCAATTGTTTATCTTCTTTAAGGAAATACTTAACCTGTTCTATTGCTCCTTTTTTAACTGGGTTATGTCTGTTGTCATCAGTGCTTTAAGTGTCATATCTAAGAGGCTTTTGCTTTACCCAAGATCGTGCAGACTTACTCCTATGTATTTTGCTAAGAATTTTAGAGTTTTAGCATACACAGTTGGGTTTGTGATCCATTTTTTATTCACTTTTGTATATGGTACAAGGTAGTGAAGTCATGCACCTATGACCGGGATTTGAACTCACGGTCTTTTGACTAAGATCACACACCTGGTTTCAGGACTTAATGAAGCTCAAGTTCTTGAGGTCTCTTTGCAGAAAGAATTCAGTGAAAGACACATGATAGGTAAGAAGGGGATTTACTTAGAGAGAAATGCACTCCACAGAGTGTGGACGATCTCAGAAGACCGCAGCCTCAAAATTCGGTGTGGTTAGTTTTTATGGGCCGGGTTATTTTGAAGGTTAATGAGCGGGAGGATGATCCCAATTATTTTGAGGAAGGGGTGGGGATTTCCAAGAATTGAGCCACTACTCAGTTTTGGCTTTTGATGGTTGGCCTCAGAACAGCTGAAGTGACTTAGATGCATGCACCCCCACACCAGATATGTAGGTTTTACAAACATGAAGAAATTTTGCTACACCAGATAGGTATCCTATGTGCTAAGTTTCTTCAGTCATGTCTGACTCTTTGTGACTCTATGGACTATAACCCACCAGGCTACTCTGTCCATGGGATTCTCCAGGCAAGAATACTGGAGTGGGTCGCCATGCTCTACTCCAGGGACCTTCCTGACCCAGTGATCAAGCCCACATCTCTGTCTCCTGCATTGGCAGGTGTGTTCTTTACCACTAGCACCACCTGGGAAACCCAACGTATCCTACAATGTAACTCAACTGACACTATCTACCTGTTTGTTATTGTTCAGTCACTCAGTTGTGTCTGACTCTTTGTGACCACATGGACTGCAGCACGCCAGGCTTCCTTGTCCTTTACTGCCTCCCAGAGTTTGCCCAGATTCATGTCCATTAAGCTGATGATATCTTCCAACCATCTCATCCTCAGCCTATTTAAAAGCAGAAATGTCACTTTGCCAGCAAAGGTCCGTATAGTCAAAGCTATGGTTTTTTCAATAGTCTCATACAGATACGAGAGTTGGACAATAAAGAAGGTTGAGCCCCGAAGGATTGATGCTTTCATAGTTTGGTGCTGGAAAAGGCACTTGAGAGTCCCTTGGACTGCAAGGAGATCAAACTAGTCAATCCTAAGGAAATCAACCCTGAATATTCATTGGAAGGACTGATGCTGAAGCTGAAACTCCCAATAATTTGGCCACCTGATTTGAAGAGCCGACTCATTGGAAAAGACCCTGATGTTGAGAAAGATTGAGGGCAGGAGAAGGGGATGACAGGATGAGATGCTTGGATGGCATCACTGACTCAATGGCATGAGTTTGAGCAAACTTCACGAATTAATGAAGAACATGGAAGCCTGGCATGCTGCAGTCCATGGGGTTGCAGAGAGTCCAATAGGACTCAGAGAAGGAACAACAAAATTAGCCAGGTTAATAGTTATTATGGTTATGGTGACTACTAATAAGCTACATCTTCACGATATGTCAATAGAAGTCCTTTCAACTCCTACCATGTTTTATATGCTGCTAAGCATTGGGTCTGAGGGGGACTTACAAATAGCTGTGAAAAGAAGAAAAGCAAAAAGCAAAGGAGAAAAGGAAAGATATAGCGATTTGAATGCAGAGTTCCAAGGAATAGCAAGGGGAGCTAAGAAAGCCTTCCTCATGGATCAGTGCAAAGAAATAGAGGAAAACAATAGAACAGGAAAGACTAGAGATCTCTTCAAGAAAATTAGAGATACCAAGGGAACGTTTCATGCAAAGATGGGCTCAATAAAGGACAGAAATGGTAGGGACATAACAGAAGCAGAAGATATTAAGAAGGGGTGGCAAGAATNTTCCAAGTTTCTTCAAATTATGTATATTTCATACAGAACATACATTTCATATAGTATGTATACACATATATGTCAGATTTCAGACTCTCTCTATATATATACATATATTTATACACCTCAGATATCAGATTATGTAGGTTTTTATATTGTTCTTTGGCAAGCATCTTACTCTACAAGTCATACCATTTCTGCTCTAGCATGGGCACGTTGGGGTTAAACCCTCACCTAAAAGCAGTCATGGACAACTTGTTACTTCTTTTCTTCATTCCATAAATGAAAAATGAATAAACTGATTAGGAGAACAAAAAATTTTTCTTATAAAATGTTTGATATTTTTGTGGTTTTTGGTTGGCTGTTCTAAACTAATTCGGCCTTCAAAAAACTCAGTGGGGTTGGTAAGTGACCTGCAGTATAATTACACAACAATTTCCAAATTTACAAAATGCACCACAGGATGAAAAACACACTAGGAGGTAAAGAAAATGTGTGACGTCAAGTAGTTATGGAATTAGAATGAAAACTAATGTTTCTTTACTCTCAAGGCTGGGTCTTTTGGCTAAATCAGCTCTCAAATGTGGTCCAGCTGACAACCTGCATCAGAACGTCTTGGGAGCTTTCAAGAATGACTTTTCTATAGCCAATCCCCAAGATATTTTACTTCAGGACATCATTTGCGGGGCCTGGAAATCTGTTTTAGAAGTTTTCCAGATGATTCTAATGTGTAACTAGATTTGGGAAGCAGTAAGACCCTGATGCTGGGAAAGGTTGAGGGCAGGAGGAGAAGGGGACGACAGAGGATGAGATGGTTGGATGGCATCACCAACTCAATGGACATGGGTTTGGGTGGACTCCAGGAGTTGGTAATGGACAGGGAGGCCAGGCGTGCTGTGGTTCATCGGGTCGCAGAATCAGACACGACTGAGCAACTGAACTGAACTGCACTGAACTGAAGCATTGGGTATATAGAGGCACAAATGAGCTTACAATTGAATACTGGAGAAATATTGATTTGAACACATGACTTTAAAACTGCAATATGGGAGGGCATGAAAAGGCAACAGGAACTGAAATGAGGATGAAAAGGAAGGACTGAACCACCAGATCCATGTCTTATGCCACCCAAATTCAATCAGCAGTTAACTCCTCCCTGGCTAAACAATTTTGTGACTATACATTTCCCAATCCAGGTAACTTGCGTTGTATTATGTTTAACTAATATTTTCCTGTGCACTGACAAATTTGGGTAAGCGGAGGCTATGGGCAAGGTAGGAACGTCAAATGCAAGAGCCTTCTTTGTTATTTTATCTGTAGTTCTAACTAGAAACCAATGTGTATTGGGGGTGCGGAGGGCGAGGGAGGAAAAAAAGCCAATGTCTAGCAAGTCTTTTCCAGATAAACTTTTAATAATCGTTACAATCGCCATCTCTCTTGATTCAGCTATTAGAAATTACCAGTTGTGGTCTGTAAATCAAGAATCCCCCCCCCCCCCTCCCCAATCATCTCAACCATTCCCCTAAGTGTTAACAACAGTATATTGTTAAGTAGTGAGCCTGAAACAGTCAGGGAGGTCTAGCCGGCAGTTCTCAGTGAGACAGTCAGGCGTGAATCGTGAACTCACTAAAACCCTCAGATTGGTAAAACAACTGGGGTTTCCGTGGGAACGAGGTGAAAGGCAGCTTGTGAGAGAACAAAGGCTGCGCGAACCAGGCAAGGCCCTCCCGGCCCGCTGGCCTCACTGGGAGCGGGGGAGGCGGCGGCGGTGCGCCCGGGTGGCTGGCTCCCGGGTCGGTGACCCACGCCGCCGCGGCGCTGGCGCGCCTCTCTGGAACCCCCCACCAACCACCACCAACACCACGCCTCCACCAGCCGAGGCACAGGAGGACGCCGCCGAGACTGGAGACTCATGAGAAGGAACGGGCGCGGGGGCTGAAGCCGGGCCGCCGCCTGAGTCAGTGAGCAAGCGACCTGTGAATCACACTGCAGGCCGTCACCCGACAGGACCGAGATCACGCGGCTCCCGGGGCCTGCTGAAGCCGCCTAGAAAGTAGCACGCCGGAGGGGAGGGGCGCCTGGGACAGAGCGCGACGTCCCCTGCCGTTCCTGTCTCTGAGAGGCCGCCTTCCCGGCCAGGCCCCGCCCCTCGCGCTTATGTAATAGGGGCGCGCTGCCATTGGCCTGCGAAACCGGAAGAGGCGCAGGCGCGCGTGCGGGTGGGGAGGTAGGGAGGCGGGGCGGGAAGCCGGGGCAGGAAGGCGAGTGGGCGGGGGCTGCGGGGAACAGGCGGCGCTGGGGCGACTGGGAGAAGTGCGCGGCGTGCGCGAGCACGAGGCGTAGTGGCCTCCCTCAAGTGCGCGGGCTGTTGTGCTGCCGGCTCTCGCTTTTCCCCTCCTCGGCGGGTGGAGGAGGCTGAAGCGGTGCTGGGCGCGCTCCCCTTCCTCTCCCTCCGGCCACCTCCCCCCGCAAGCCCTCTCGCGCTGCGCGGTCTCTCCGACGCAAGACTGTCCCGGCCCGGGTGAGCGGCTGTGGGGGCGGCGCTGACGCCGCAGGACGCCCGGGAGCCGGGGTGGGGGGCCTGCCGGCTGGGTCGGCGGGGGCCGTGAGGAGGCGGGCAGGTTAGCGCGGGTCGCGAGGGGCCGCCGACCTGCCCCGCCTCCTTGAGGGGCCGCCGAGCCTGCCCTGTCCCGGCGCGGGCCGCCGGGAAGGAGGGGAATCTCGGGCGCCCGCCAGGCCCTGCAGGTGGCCGGCTCGCAGGCCGGCCGCGGCGGCGGCGGAGCGGTAGCCTTATCCGCTGGCGGCAGCAGCTGGTCGGCTTCCCTCAGCTGGGGCTCCGGGTGGCCGAAGTGGCCGGGTTTCGGGCAACGGAGGCCCCCGGGAGGCGCGTCTCGGGCCAGGGTCCGTGAGGAGGGGCCGGTAGGTAGGGGTTTCGGTGGCCTAGAAAGAGGAGGAATTCTCTCCCAGGCGGGAGAGGCCGGTCTGGGAAGGAAGGTGTGCCGAGCTTAACAGCCGAGCTCAGCGAAGTGCTGGGTAAGATAGACCTAACTGCCGGCCCTTTCATCCTCCCTCCTCTCTGAAAGGGACTTAGTTCATTAAAAAAGCCAGAGTCAAGTTGTTGTTCACTGCCCGGGCCTCTTCGTTTTCAGATACTTAATGGAAAATGATCCTACTTCCTGGATTCAAAAATGTTTTCTCTTACTCGTTTGTTTTGGTTTTAGGAGGCTCTTTGGGGTCAAAGCTTATATTCGGTACCTCCTGTAAGAACCCCTCATATTGGAAGAACTCGTTATTCGCTTTACTTACTTCCCTCTTTACAGCCCCCCTCGGAAGACCATACAAAATAAAGTTATAAGCCAGCTTCTAGGTATTTGTAAATGACTTCTTGCCCCTCAGTTCACTGCATTTAATCAAAGAGAAGTTATGCTTAGTTACGCTTAAGATTTTGTAGAAAACTCAGTTGGCTTGCGAGCAAGCCCTGAGTTGAGCTGTCCAAAAGCAGGTGGTTTGTTCGTTTGCATTTCTGCTTTCAGAAAGGAAATCAATGCGAGCGTGTCGCTAGAACTTAGGGGCCTGTCTTACGCATTTAGACTGATTTCAATTTCCTTTATCTCGTGTTTTCTGTTTTAAAAATAAGAACAGCAACCACAATCTTTTCTTTATTGAAGCTGTTATGGTTTTTTTGTTACTTTTGTGAGATGACAGTGAGAATGGGAAAATGTATTGTTAATGTTGTATTTTATCAGCAATGGTAACTGCAAAAGTTGCTTTTTTCAGATCAGTGCATGACTATTTTAGCAGAATAGCTAATAACGTTTAGATATCAAAGAAACTTCTAGAATTAGTAGCTTACCATTTTATAAGGTTTTTCCCCCCAGTGTAAAGCAGTTAAGAGGTTACATATATAATCTGTGTATTAACATACATCATGTGGAAGACTTCAGATCCATGTGAAGCCTGAAGTATTCTGACTTAAGGTAGTGATGCTAAGGCATTGAGATACTAAGAATGTTATAAACATTGAGATATCATAAAGATTGAATACCTATCATTCAAATAATGCAGAAGTGTCCAAATCTGTTTCCATGGGAATAGGTTTGTAAACTTACCATAAATATACTTTTTAAAAAAGCATTTCATTTGACTTGGAATTAATAAGGATTTGGTTTTTTTTTTTAAATAACAAAAATGGAAGTTTAGCCTTCAGTGGCTAACACATCTGATTGTATATACCATTATTTGATGGGAATGGGGTTCTTATATTAGGCTAGCCATACTGAAAAATTTTGTAATTTGTTGAAATGCTAAGCTGGCTTCCTAGAAAAGGATTGACCTTCCTTTGTATTTTCACTTTTAGGTTCGATGTTTAATGCTAGTGGGAACTTGTCCTATGGATGTGCTTTTTTTTGTTGTTGTTCCCCATTTTCTTTTTGGGAGTAACTGGGGTGTTTCAGTGACTGTTTTGACCTCTTATCTAGTTAAGGTTCCAGTGAGAACAAGCTAACACTCTTTCCTGGTGAAGTTAATGGATGTATTATGTGTTCATGTCCTGAAATGACTTTAAAGTTTAAAATTTAATTGCAGTGCTAGTCAAAACTATCCATAGGGATTCTACTTAAATCCTATTTTAAAAATCCTATTTTGAAGTATTTAAAAACCAGCTCCAACTCATTATACACCTTTTATGAACAGATTTAACTCGTTGTCTTAAAGAAGTCTTTAACTTTATTGAAAAAATAAAAATTTTTCCCCTAATTTTTAACCCATGTTAATTTCAGATTGCCAGTAGTAAAAAGGGGTATCTTTCATTTTTGTGAAAGTACCCTTAATGTTAATGGATATGTATTTGAGCAAGTGCTGAGAGACGGTGAAGGACAGGGAGGCCTGGCGAGCTGCGGTCCACGGGGTCGCAGAGACGGACATGCCTGAGCAACTGAACAACAACAGCAACCCTTAATCTCACTTAATAATTTGTCCAGCAGTCATATGAAGGGCAGTTTTTTTTTTTTAAAGAAAGAATAGCACAGTAATTTTATGAAACCTAAGTATTCAAGAGGATGGTTCCCACTGCTCCTGTTAACTTCTTTAGAGGCACTGGATGACAGCTTTCATTTCTCTTAAAGTTGTAAGAATCTCAGGTCAAAGGGGAAAGTACTTTTGCAAAATGATTAAGTGATTGAGGAAGGGGCTAAACTGTCTTAGGTAAACTTTTGAAGATTACATACAGGAAAGTGTACAATTCTTAGGTGTATAGTTTAGTGAATTTTTACAAGTGAACGTTTGTATAACCATTACCTGAATCAAGACATAGAACATTATTGGCACCCAAAAAATCTCCCTCATGTCCTTTTTTCCCATTGTTACTTCCTGGATTAGTTTTGACGGTTTTAAACTTTATACAACACAGGTTCTTTGTATCTGGCTTCTTTTCCTTTAACACTGAGATAAAACCATGTTGTTGCTTGTAATCATAGTTCCTTCCCTTTGAGTGCTGCATGGTAGTCCATTATAGAAGTCTGCCACAATTATGTATCTACTTTACTATTAATAAGCATTTGGATTCTTTCCAGTTTTGGAAACAGGTGCACTGAGCATTCTTGAACTGTACCTTTTGCTGTACAAAAATATATTTGCATTTCTATTAATATATACTAAGAGTGGAATTGTGAGATTATAGTGTAGGTGACTAGTTTTCTACAGTGGTTATAGCAATTTATCCTCTAGTAGCATTATGTGTGAGAATTTGAAAATCCATACATTTTGATTGGTATTTCTATAAAACAGCTGTCCAGTTCTTGAGGTGTTATCATACTAAGATTTCACTCTAATGTCTGAACTTCTGTTTTCAGATATGGCTCGTGGACAGCAGAAGATTCAGTCTCAGCAGAAAAATGCCAAAAAGCAAGCTGGACAAAAGAAGAAACAAGGACATGACCAGAAGGCTGCTGCCAAAGCTGCCTTAATATATACCTGCACTGTCTGTAGGGTAAGGGGAATTGAAAGATATAACTTCCTACAGCCATACCACCCTGAATGTGCCCAGTCTTATCTGAAAGACATAGCTCTCTCACGAACAGTTCTTTCATTAGAGATTGGTTTGTATAGGTTAAAATTTTGCAAACATTGCAAGATAAATGCTTTACTTGAAATAGGAGATTTGAGAGGTGGTTGTGTTAGGAACCCATCTTCATTCTTCTATTCAATGATTTTATGTGTGTGTGTGTGTGTTTTGTCTTTGCCTTGAGGCACATAAGAATCTTAGTTCCCTGACTAGGTTTTGAACCTATGTCCCCCCTAGTAGAGGCACAGAGTCCTCTAACCACTGAACCGCCTTAGCTGCTGCTGCTGCTAAGTCACTTCAGTCGTGTCCGACTCTGTGTGACCCCATAGACGGCAGCTCACCAGGCTTCCCCGTCCCTGGGATTCTCCAGGCAAGAGTACTGGAGTGGGTTGCCATTTCCTTCTCTAGCGCGTGAAAGTGAAGTTGCTCAGTCATGTCCGACTCTTAGTGACCCCATGGACTGCAGCCTACCAGTCTTCTCCGTCCATGGGATTTTCCAGGCAAGAGTACTGGAGTGGGGTGCCATTGCCTTCTCCGAACTGCCTTAGGACTCCCAACAATTATATTTTTGGAATAGCTCTTCTGGCCAGACACAGTTCTCTTGGTGTTATTGAGAAGGAATGAACAAAGCAAAAACCCTTTCCTCATGGAGAAAAAAGATGTCTTCTTAAGGGCAAGTAATATACTTTGAACTTTGTAAGAAAAGTCAGATTTACATTCTTAATTTAGAGCTATATAAGACACCTCTGGTTATATACTTGGCTTTTTTTTTTCCTTTGCTAAATTTGTAGTTATGTCTACAAAACTAGAGTATATCCATGTTGAGGACTTTTACTAGCATTAATGTGTTTTATTAGATTGAAGAATAATCATAACAGCTGCTATTGAGTGCTTACGAGGTGCCAGACACTGAGCCACGTGTTTTACATGTATGCGCCCTTTAATCACACAACTCCTCTATGGCATAAAGTCCTTTTATTTTACAGAAGAGTAAATTGAGTCATGGGGAGTTAAATAACTTGTGCTGGGTCACCCAGCTAGTATGTTGGAGAGCTGGGATCTGAACCCTGGAGGCCCACCTCCAGAGCCCACCTTCTGGACCACTGTACCACACTGCCATGAAGAAGTTTTAAATACCAGGCCAGGGTGGTTTTTTTTTTTTTTTTTTTTTTTTTTGCCTGTTTAAGCTCACCACTCTTTTTTCTCTTCACAGTATTTTTATTTTTGGCTGCGAGGGGTCTTTGCTGCTGCTAGTGAACTTTCTCTAGTTGGGGCAACCGGGAGCTACTCAGCAGGCTTCTCATCGTGGTGGCTTTTCTTGTTGGGGAGCACGGGTTCTAGGGCACAGGGGCTTCGGTAGTTGCAGCGCTCAGGCTTAGGAGTTGTGGGTTGCAGGCTCTTGCGTGTGCATGTTCAGTGCTTGAGATTCATGGGCTCTAGAGCTTGGGCTTAGTTGCTCCACAGCATGTGGAATTTTCCCAGACCAGGGGTTAAACCTGTGTCCCCTGTATTGTCAGGTGGATTCTTACCCACTGTGCCACCAGGGAAGTCCCCTGAGGTCACCACCCTTGAAATTAGTGAATGAAAGTGCCAAAGGAAAAGTGCATGGTGAGGTGGTTCCAGTTACAACAGACTTTTTTTCTTCTGTATGTCTGGATAGAATTGGTAGTATGGATGGGAAGTGGCTCAGATGCTCAGTCGTATCTGACTGTTCACGACCCAATGGACTGTAGCCTGCTAGTCCTCTGTGTCCATGAGATTCTGCAGGCAAGAATACTGGAGAGGGGGTGCCATTTCATCCACCAGGGGACTTTCACAACCTAGGATCAAACCCATGTCTGTTACATCTCCTGCGTTGACAGGCAGATTCTTTACCACTGGGCCACCTGGGAAGCCCATGGTTGGAAGGGATATTGATAAGACTTGATTGATTCCTGGACTAAAGTTAATCTTTTATTGAAGTCATTACTGATGAAAGAATTCCTAACTCCTTAAAAGTTCTCATTAGAGAAGAAATCTGTTACATTAAATAACTTGTTTTCATTGAGCTTTGATATACACAAAATAATGAGATTGAGCAGGCTTCAGATTCTGTTTGTAAAGAGACAAGGTAAAAGTACATTTCACTAAATTACTAACGAAAAAATACTTTGACCTAAAAATACTAGAGTATCTCAGATAGAACGCAAAACAACAAAAAATGTTTATTTAATGTTTTATCTAATGTAAGGTACTTAAAGAATAAATAATTGAATGTCCTTACCTAGATAAGTCAGTATAGTGTAGTATTTGAAGTCTGAAGTGCCTAGTACTAAGTTAAACACAGGTACTGGACAAATTAAACTGCAGGTTTTAGTTTCTTTAGCACATAAAATGTGGATAGTAGAAACTGATTTAAGATTACGAGAAGATTCTGTGAAAAGTTTGGTAGCAATGCTTAACATAATATGTCCAGTAAATGTTATCTATTGTTTGTTGTTAATCAGGTAATACTCTATGTGACCCATCCCTTTTTATATGTGAAATGTGGGATATGCTACGAGTTTCTTTGCTACAAAATCCTTTTTCATGTGTCAGCCAGTAAGTTAAAGTAGTTTAAAAGTGTTTTGCAATAGTTGTTGATCATGAGCAGGCTTAGGATTTTAAAAACACACTTTTATTTCATGAATCAGGTCTAACTCTTCTTTTTTGCACAATTTTTAAAATTAGACACAAATGCCAGACCCTAAGACCTTCAAGCAGCACTTTGAGAGCAAGCATCCTAAGACTCCACTTCCTCCAGAATTAGCTGATGTTCAGGCATAAAGTTGTTTACAGGTAATTGACATTTTCTTTTGCTAATGTCAGGTTGTATACAAGAACAGAACTATCTTCTGTGATTGTAAAATTGATTTCTGTCTTCTAGCTGAGACTTCATTACTGCCCTCTTTTAAGTTAACATTTAACTTTGCAATTGTTAGAAGTCCATTTTCCTAGACCATATCCTTTCAATACCTTTGAAACATCCAAGTTTTTACCGCTGTGGCCAAAAATGGGATGAGGCTGGCCAACTCTGGTCCAAGAATGGAAGAGTTTTCAGCTTAAAGAAAATAACCATTATAAAGGTATTTGAGGATCTTGCTCCCAGAAATGATGCAGACCATAGTCAGTGAGTGCTTTTTTCTTGGTATTTGACTTAGAGTGCTTAGCAGAGTACATTAAAATATAAGGTAGGATGTAGGCATTCACTATAAACTGGACAGTTACTTGAAAATAATCAGTTTGTACTTTCTGTGTGGTTGGATTTTTTTCCTAAATGGTGGTGATGGTATATGTATGAGAATTATTTCTTTTTATATTCATCAAAGATCTGTTTGTCAACTAAGTTTGACAGATCTATCAGGCTAACTTCATAGCTTAGGCATGTTTTGCTTTTTTAAAAGACACTTGAAATACATATAAATCATATTTATGTAATGCTTACATTCACTGAACATCTTATGTTTTGTAGGTGAATACGTGACACCTTTGATTCTTCTACTGTCTCAGACCTTAGGTAACAAACCTGCAGCTGCTTTTCTAACAAACTGTTGATCAGCAAAAATAAAGGGGCTACAGAAACACTCATTTTTATGCTGTTCCCTTTTGGGCTTCATGCAAAGACAATTGTGTGTAAATGTACAGTTGACTCTGATTTGGAAATCTGAAAATCAGTCCATCCTTGTTATAAAAAATTTTTTTACAATTGTAATTATATTGATGTTCATATTGTGTAAAATAACTCATTTAATAAAGTAGTACTTTGATTTTACAACATCACAGGATAAATGATTTTAGAAATTCTGTTCTTTCTACATTATTTGCCTTATAAAAATCTAATTAATTCATCAGCTGAAATTGCAAGCGCAGTTCTTAGGTCCTTTTCTCAGTTCAGGGGCAGGTTCATAGTTAAACCAGAGCAGACTCATTCACTAATTTGTGCACAGGATTTTATTGGCAGTTGCTGACCTAGGTGAAGAATGACTTACCTGCTGCCTTAGTATATTGCAATCGTGTCATTTTTCCCTCTTCCTGTGATTGAGGTTGGACTATTTCAGCTTGCTGTGTGACCTGGTTATATCTGCCAGCCAGGTATAGTCTGTAGATAACTGATATATTCTTCAGATTGGTAGGATTGTCAGTGAGCCCTCCTGAAAAATTATGTTCTAAAGTATATGCCACAATGAAATAAGCAGCCTGTTGTATAATATAAAATATGATGGAACATATGTGAACTGGTAAAGCGCTTTTATAAATTATACTTGATTCTTTGAAAATTGTTTAAGTTCTTTGATTTGAAATTGAAGTTCATAATTTTGGAAGGGGTTTTTGGAAGTTAATAATAATTTGGCCAATTTATGAATGGATTTTGCAGTAACGGAAGGATTGGAATGACTTGTGGCTGGGTTAATCCCCAGAACCATCTCCTTTCTTTCCTTTTTAAGTGAATAGTTGATTTTAGGAGTTTACTTTGTTCTGGTTCCTAAAATCAAAGACTGTGTATAGTATGACTTGCATGTGAACTAGAAAAGTACTAAAATAGGCCAATATCTACATTTTTTTTTTTTTTTGACTCTTAAGGATGGGGAAGTGGGTTGGTTGGGATGAATGCGGTAAATCCTACCCAATTAAAAAGACTAATTTTAGATTTCTTCTAATTTGCTTTTGCCAACTGTTAATACTAAGTAAAACCATTGTAACTCAGTTTAAATTTTAAAGTTGATTTAATAGGAAGAACATGCAAATATTTACTGGGTTTGCTTAGAGCCACAAATCTGATCCTGTGGATTGATTACAAAATGCATTCCCTCTTTCTGCTGTAACTCATCACTGCATTTGTTTTATAGCTGTGCATTTTCTGCCCACCTTGTTTGTCTTCAGTGTAAGTTTAAAATAAGATATTTCCAAGGAAAAGCTTCAGTGGTGATAGTTTCTTAGCAACTCCTATTCTTATACTCTTACTTTAAAATAGTAATTTTTTCCATGTACTTAATTTCCTCAGTTTCAGGTTTATTATCTGTTAATTCCAAATATGTTGGTTACCAGAACATTAGAATTTGCCTAATTGCTTACAGTGGGTATTACAGAAGTTATGGTTAAATTACAATTTAAAACTTTTTAAAAGTGCTTTGAGCATATGTATGTTTATGTTAGTAACGGATCATTTACAAACCTTTTACAAGTTTTGGGTTTTTTTTTTTTCTTTTTTGCTTTATTGACTGTAATTCAGAATAAAAGCTTTATGTTCTTGTGTTTAACCCTTTTTTGTAAGCAGCTGAAGACACCATATTTAACTAGACCTCAGTGATAGGGAAATGGCTCCACTGATGTTGAATAAGACATTCTTATACTTCATGTGAGGGTTATTAGTGCAGTCCCCTTTTTTTGTGTTTGGCTTAAATCTACTAGCAGGGGAAAATTTTAAACATCTTCATTATTTAATTTGAAGATTCTTTAACAGATGACAGCTTAGTTCATTGTAAAACTCTTATGGTGTCTTTGAAGACTTGATAAAATACACAGAATTGCTCCTGTTGTATTCTGTATTACCGTTAGTTGCCAAAAGGAATGGGGTTAACGTTAGACTTGTTTCCATTCTCTTTCTTATGGATCTGCATCCCCGTGTTTAACTGACACATTGGGGGCTCAGTTGTGTGCTGTAATGTCTTATTAAAGAAGATATTAAAACTAAACTAGTCTAATTTCTTCTACATTTTAGGAAGTTTTTATATTGCCTCTTCCCAGTTAAAAAAATTTTTTTTTTCAATTCAGAATTGTCTCTTGAGTGTAGAATTGGTAGTTCTAAGGGTGACAGATGTCTTTCATTTCTCAGTGTTTTCCTTTTATCTATTTGGGATCTGTAGGATACTTAAGAAAAAAAGAAAAAAACCCTTGTTTAGAACCTAGCTATATTAGTGGAGGAAATAATCGACTATTAATATAAAAATAATACTTAAAAAATGCATAGATCAGTTAATTAAATTGGATAAGTCCTTAAAGACATAGACTCAGATTTGAGAGAACACGTGTTGTTTTATATTAAGGTACTGTATACCTGATAATCACATCATAATTAAAACCTGAGATGTGTGTATCATGAATAAGGTAGACTTTACCAGCATTACTATTTTACCCCTCCAAAACCTTTGTTTTTCATTTTTTAAATATGTGGATTGTACTGGACCTGTTCTAAAATGTGGTTAATATAGAGACCTTTTTCTATAATACAGTGACCCACCCACCACAGTCCAGGCTATTAACTGAAATATATTTAAACCTCTGTTTCTACATTAACTCATTTGTGCTAGAATTTTCATTTTGGGGGCAATTTTTGGTATGGTTTAGTTTTGGTCAGAGAATATACTTTTTAGAATGTATCACAATGAGGATCAACACTAGGGGGTTGTATTTACTGTGACTTTACATTCTGAGATCTTTCAATCTAGCTTAATTTTATCTGTTAAAGTTTCTGAAAACTCTTTACTCCCAGTGTGAAGATTTAATAGAACATCTATCTATTTGGCTGAGAAAATAGATGTTTTATTAATGAAAGTACAGCTTGTCTTTATTAATTGTGGATTACCATATTAAACTGAAAATTAAATGTCTTCTATTTTAAGTGCTCTTTGGCCACACTGTTTACTAAGTTAGCATCTTTTGGGAGTTTTTTTAACAATTGTTTAGTTCCAGTTTTTTTTATATAATACAGCTCCAAATTTAAAATCTACTCATAGACAGACTTCAGGCATTTATTTATATCCATAAGGGTATATCGGTATTGTGAAGTAATTCTGTTAAAATCATATTCCTTTCTAGTCATTTTTTAATTTATTCAGTATCATTGTTTCTTACATGATATTAATAATAACAGCTTAGGGTTTGGTAGAAGTATTTCACTTTATCACCACTTGTGCTATAAAATTCAGAATGGAACCTGCATTTTGGACTCTTAATATATTAAAATTTTAATTAGGAAATAGGCCATCATAGTACTTCCTCTAACAATTTTAAGTGTTTCTCAAAATGAGATCTATAGCTAAGGTGACCATCTCTGGTTTGCCAGACACACCACTTTGGCTTAAATTTTTATTTTATATTAATTGATTATTTAATATCAAAGTAATTAATCTACTTCAAAATCTCAATATTGCCTCCTTCACTCATATCGGTTTATAAGGTCAGTGTGTAAGACAAGTGAAGTACTTTTTTTGGCCACGCCTCCACAGCTTGTGGCATCTTGGTTACCTGACCAGGCATTGAGCCTGGGCCCACAGCAGTGGAAGCACTGAGTCCTCACCACTGGACCGCCAGGGAACTCCTTGAAGTGCTTTTTGTAAATGTTAAGTTTATTTTATTTTTTAAATGACTATGGTACCCAGAAATTCTTACTTGTTAAATGGGAATGTGGGATACTGGCAAGGTTTGTCTTTCAAAGGCTTTGAATCTGTTTTATTTAATTATTTTAATATATCCTACTGAGACTTAAATATCTGGTAAAATTAACTAGCTTTTAAAACTGCGAAATGCCTTTATTCACAGATATTCATATAAACTTGATGTTGTTTGTACCATATTATTCAGACTTTGGACTCTTGCTCATCTTTTATTCAAAGGACTTAGGGGAAATGGCCAGATGGGTTAAGCAGGACTGCCTGTTAGTATAGAACACTTGTGCTGAGGAAGGAAGGGAAGTCTGTAGCATTGGCTACAAGTCAGACATCCTCTGGGCTAAACATATTGAAAACTTCCGGTTTTGATATAGGATGCTTCTACATGTTGTTTGATCTGTATCTCTGAATTTTTTTTTTTCTTCGTAGTGAAAGTGAAGTCGTTCAGTCCTGTCCAACTCTTTGCGACCCCCTGGACTGTAGCCTACCAGGCCCCTCAGTCCATGTAATTTTCCAGGCAAGAGTACTGGAGTGGGTTGCCATTTCCAGGAAGGTTTATTCAGGGAAGAAACACTCCATGCACAGAATGTGGGCCGTCTCAGAAGGCAGGAGAGGCAAGAGCAGCCTCTGAAATTTTTTTATAAACTCTTAATTTGGGGATACTTTAGAAGTTATAAAGGTAGTACTGGAAAGTTGTTCTGTCCCTTCACCCAATTTCACTTTACCCTCATATTATAATCTTACATTATTTTCTCTGTCAGAACTAAGAAACCACCACTGGTATGTTATCAGCTGCAGTTTATTTGTAATATCCTTTTTGTGTTTCAAGATCCAGTCCAGAATACCACACTGTATTTAGTTATTTCGTCTTGGTCTCTTGTGGCCTCAGTCTGCCTCAGATTGTTTCTCAGTCTGCCGTATTCTTTATGACCTTCACAGTTTTGAGGTGCATGCAGGTATATTGTAGAATGTCTCTCAGGTTGAATTTGTCTTTTTTCGCATGGTTACGTTGGGGTAACAGGTGTTTGGGGAAGAAAACCGCAAAGGTGAAGTGCCCTTCACCTATCATCTCAGAGATGAATGATCCCCACGTGACATCACTGGTGATGTTAACCTCTGTCCCTTGGTTAAGGTGCTCTAGGTCAGGTTTCTCCACAGAAAATCACTATTTTTTTCTTTGCATATGCTGTCTTTTTAAAGTACTGGGATGTCCAGCCCTTACTCAAGGGGCATGGGGATTTAGCTCCACCTGCTGGAGGGGAGAATAATGTACATTATTTGAAATTCTTCTATAAGGAGGATTTGTTCTCCACATTTGTTTATTCAGTCATTTATTTATATCCATATGGATTCAGTACTCTTATTTTGTTATTCAGATTATTCTGGCTTTGGCCATCTTTCACATTGTCTCACATATCCCTTTGATATGCCCCATTCGTTTTTGAGCATTTCCTTATTACTGTAGGAAGCTCCGGGCTAATCTTGTGTGTTCCCTGCACCAGCCCTGGAAGTAACTATTTCTCCAAAGAGACCTGATTCCTCTTATTGGAGAATGGTATTTAGAAACCAAGATCTGAACACTGGGCGTGAGGGTTTTGTTTTATTTATGAAATGTTGGCCTATTTCCTACTATTAATATATTATCTGTGGGTTGTGGGTGAGAAAAGTATTGTTCTCCCAGATCTTTAGGCAGTGGACTGTGAATGAGGAGTTTCCACAACTGCACATCATTACTGAAGCATGCTCTGTAAAAAAAGTTTGTCATTTTATTTTTTTGTTTTTGTTTCTTAAAGCATTCTGTTACTGACATTTGTTGAGAGTAATATATGTGAAGTTGTTTTATAAACTGTAAAGTGTTAGTCACTCAGTCATGTCCAACTCTTTGTGATCCCATGGACTATAGCCCGCCAGGCTCCTCTGTCATGGGATTCTCCAGGCAAGAATACTGTAGTGGGTTGTCCCTTTTCCGTATAAATTGTAAAGCATTATATAAAAGCGATGAATTATTATAGAAAATGTAACAAAGTTCCCTAATCTTTAGAAATTAAAATTTGTTTTAAGGGATATCATATTTATATAATTATAGGCTATATTAAGTGCTTTGCATGTCTTAGAGACAGTAATGCCTGCAGGCATATATAGGAAGGAGATGCTGTGTGGGTTGGAGA